TATATATATATATATATATATATATATATATCTATATATATATATATATATATATATATATATATATATATATATATATATTAGGGCTGTAACGATACACGATATAAAATCGAAATCGCGACACTCAGATCTACGATCCTGTGTCGCGGTGTGATAAGGGAGAATCGTGACACACCCCGTGATACCTTTCCAATAACGTCACGCGTGCCTGCAAAAGTTGAGCTAATCAACACTTTTTTTCGTTAGACATTACAAGCACTGCTCCGTTTAAGCCCTCGCAATATTTAGCCGGGAGAGCTCACACGGAGCTCTTAGTAAGAGACCGTCTGAATGTGTCAGGAATATCAAAAACAAAACCAACTTAACCCCGCTTGACAACCAACAACGCCAGAAACATTGTCAATGCTGTCAAAGCGGCCGGATTTTCAGCACATATACGATGATTTGCTCACACTGTTAATGTGGCTGCGCAGAGAGGGATGGGCGTTCACCAGATGTCAGGTAACAGCGCAAACTTTTCTGTAACCGCGCTGTGTGCTTTCTGTTTGAACCTTTGAGAGTGCTGACTGACAGGTGCGCGATGCGTGAGGTCAGAAAACATGATGAAGCTTTAAGTTAAGATGAACACAGTTTCTATAGTTATACTTTATTTAGAGATAAAGGTATATGGCTCTGCATATAATCACTCTATCTTGCTGGAGTTTATAGCCGTTTCGCTTTACTTCAGGACGCATTAACACCGCTCTGATGGTCTAATCGCTGTTTTAAGTTATCCAGCGCTGTATGAATATACAAATCTTGAATATCACAATAGTAACAAATATTACAATTGTAACAACACAGACAGCAACACTTTTGCACAATCGATACCCAGCTGATTCAGTCGTTTATAAGAGGACCGCGCCTCTTCTTTTTTCCTTGTCAACATAAAGGCAGTGAGGTGCGCCTCGTTTTCGCCCCTTGTTTAACTGCAAGGCATACTTAATTTGCGGGACGATAACGTATAACCCGTGCCTACAGACACATTTGCCAAAGAAGCAAAATGGAAGAAGAATATTGCTGTTTGATACAGACCTGTTGATGCAGAACCAGCGCTGATGTTGACCTGGATCTGCGTAATAAAAGCAACAAATAGGCTTTACTTTTTATTTTACAGCTTATAAAGCATGTACGCAGATTAATGCAATATCATATTTAAACAACAAAACTGTTTACAAAAAGTCAACATATGCGCGCATTGTTGCTGTCTTTTCATCACGCAGCGCGCGCACTTGAACCGCGAGGGAGAGAGAGGAAACCATAGGCTATATATCAGGACATAATCTTTAAAATAATGATTTCTATTAAAATGTAAAAGGTTTTGTGATTATAATAATAACAGCGGGGCATTAAATAAATGCATTTTTTCCGTGAAGCGAGCAATTTAAGAAAGTCTGCGATTTTTATTTGACGGAAGAAAAAAAACATATGATTGGAAAAAAAAGCCTATGCCGCTTATTAAAAATAATCAGTCAGTATTTTCGTTTTGTAATATAAATTAATTATTTAAGTAAAAATAATTTAGGGCAGTCCTATTTATTTTATTCATTTTATTTAGATTATTCTGCTCTTCTGTGCTAAACACTGCAGGTGCGTGAAGATGCTCTGTTGTTCTGTTCCGCTATTAATATTCTAACATATAAAAATAAATCAGTATTTTAAAATGCAATATTTAATGTGTCGGACACAAAATAGACACGTCAATTTGTTTAATATAAAATTAATAGTAATCTGACCAGTTAACCGTTAATAACCGATTAATGAGCAGCGTTTGTCGGTTAGCAAAATTAACGAAATGAGCATCCCTAGTAGCCATTTAATTTACTTTTTCTATGTAAGAGAACTTGATTGAAAAAGAATTAACATGCTTGAACCATCTACACAATGGAGTTCAGTTCTGTTTGGTTTTTCAACAGTATTTTGTTACAAAGAAAACAAAAGTGATATAGCTTTGGCTATTTATTTATTTTATATATGGCTATTTATATTGTTAATAATTTGCATAGTTAATATTGTTCTTTGATGTTTAGTTTATAAAGATTTTTCCAATGTTATTTAATAAAAAATAGTTTTAAAAATCTTTTTTTTTCCCACCCCACACGAAAAAAAAAAAAATCGTGATACGAACCGAATCGTGGGTCAAAAATCGTGATACGAACCGAATCGTGGGTTTGGTGTATCGTTACAGCCCTAATATATATATATATATCATATTATTTGCTGTTCAAAATGGATAAACCACTGACCAAACTTTGATTCCTGCTCAAAATAATAATAAAATGAACCAGAAAAACACAACGAGCTGCTGTCTATATATTTTGTGAATTACGGCTTATTATTATACAAACAACTTTTACAGCAAATTAATATAGTTATTTTTAGCTTATCAATTTTAAACACAAAACAATGCATTATCCATTAGTTCATGTATTTACTACGATTAAGAGAGAATAATTCTGAAAATCATTTATTAATCATAGTTCAACATTTACTAATGCCTTAATAAAATCCAAAGTTGTTCTTGTTAACATTAGATAATGAACAGAGATTTAACACGAACTAACGTTGTTTAACTTAATGTTAACAAAGATAAATACCATAATGAATGTATTACTAATTGTTTGTTCATGTTAGTAAACACAATTAATGAAAATAAATTATTTTAATGTTACCCATAACTCTACATGTTTGATTAACAGAATTAAATGACTAGCACATGAAAAATACTACAGTAATTTATAGTAAATACTAGTGTTTTCAACCATACTATACTAAAGTTTACTTATTTATTATAGTATTGTACAACTGTGTTACTGAATGCTGCAGCAGTAACTGTGGTGAAATGAGAAAATGCTCTGCATACTGTAGTAAACATGAGTTTTTACTGCAGTAAACTGTGCTGTGTTGTAATATAGTTGTTGTAAATGTAGTACAGTGTTGGTGTTTTGTATTTATACTACACTATTTACTATAAATGACTGCAGTATTTGTCCATGAGGGTGAAATGAGTGAACACAGCATTTCATTTGCCGCTAATAAAGATCAGACAAATCCTGAAGTATAAGAATGTGTGAAAGTAAACAGGAATCATAACCTGTGCTTTTACCGCGAGAAGCTTTTACATCGAGAGCTTTAATAAAGAGGTTAGTGGCCAAAACCAAGCAAAAACAAAGCTGAAAACCGACACTGAAGAGGAACACAGCCGAGAGAAAAACACTTGAATATTGAGAAAGTAGGAATCTGAACTAATAAATAAGGAGAGAAACACAACGTTACCTGTTTACATATGAACACGGTAAAAGTCCGCTATTCCTGATCGCTTTCACAGAGGAATTGACAGTCAAGAGCCAGGATATAATGAAGAAAGGCAGGAGTTGTGTCGTGTTCGCTAAATAATCTCTCTAGAGTTGATAAAAGCTGAAGTGTAGCCTCTTTGTTTCTTCTCATCTTCAACACGAGTTTAATGTTGCTTGTTCTGAGCTTTTCCTCCAGCGCCTCCACTATCAGTGTGCTGTGTACTACTGCCATCTAGAGGACAATCACAGCAACAGCGACTTACAGCGGTCACGGGGCTCCAGGAGGAAATCAGCTTCAGTAAATTAATAATTTCAAGTTTAATGTTAAGCAGACAATCAATAAATAAACACAAACACAACAACACACTTTGAATACGTCTTAAGTTCAACTCATCATAGGACAAACATAACATTTCCAGCTGATACCCCACACAAAAAAATACTATAGTAAATGTAGTAGTAATTGTAATATATATTAATCTCCATCAACATTCCCAGCTACTATATGTCAATGCTGTATATTTCAGTTCAGCAGCTGTTTAACTTTAAGCACATTTTAATTATTTTACCTGTAAGTACAGTACAGTGTTAATGTTCAAACTGTATTTATCATGTTTAAAGTGTCTGACAATCATAAATACTCTTATTAGCAATAAATCTGCTTTCACACTTTCTTTCTGAGGTGGTAATTGGTGTAAAAAGTTTGAGAACCACTGCGCTGAATAATCTTTCTGTCCTGTAGATAATGCAAAGAAGACTGAGACCTCTGCTCACCCCATCTGATATATACATACATACAGTTGAAGTCAGATTTACTAGCCCCCCTGAATTATTAGCTTTTATTTTTATTATTTTTATTTATTTATTTTCCCCCCATTTTCTGTTTAACAGAGAGCAGATCTTTTCTACACATTTCTTAACAGTAGTTTTAATAACTCATCTCTAATAACTATGGCTGGTATCGTTCCAAAAATTTCAATACTGATACCCTGAATTCGATACCGGTTCAGAACGATACTTTTTTTCGATACTTTTATTTTAAGAAATATATTTTAACAATATTACAAAACTCATAATCTCTGAGAAACTTTGGTTTTATTTTTTCAGGATGTTTGTGACACTTTTCACAGCAGGCTTATCTCTAAGACCAATAAACAAAGAAACACAAGCACAAAATGAACAAAATGTAGTTTACACAATAAATTAAAGCAGTTTTAAGTCGATCAATTTTAAGTATTTGTGAAGCTTACCGCTGCTTAAAGGTTTAGTTCACCCAAAAAATTAAATTCTGTCATTAATGATCTTCAAATAAAATTATTTTGATTTAATCCAAAAGCTTTCTGATCCTCCCATAGATAAATCGTTGAATAAAGTTATTTTAGACTGTTTTTGAAGACCCTTACAACCAAATATGACCCTATTTCATGTATAATAGGGGCTCTTTATTGGATTAATGATTGTCTGAAACTCTTCCCACACTGAGAACATGTGAATGGTTTCTCTCTAGTGTGAATCCTCGTGTGAGTCTTTTTGCATGCCAAACTCTTTCCACACTTCTTCATCAAACCTGAAATAAAAGTAGGATTGCATTTAAATTAAATTATTAAAATATGCTCAGGCACTTTTCTTTTAAAAACAGATGAAACTTTGCCTATTCTAACAGAAGTTAACACCTAAAACAAACACACAAACACAATCATACAGGTTGTAGAAAGTAGAGAAAGAGTTTGAGAGAGTTTAATGATGCAGTCACAGTATTTGTAAGACCTTTTAAACAAACCAGAAATGATAAACTCAACCCTTCTATTGTTTCTTCAGGCTTACATATAATTTACAGCAATTCAGTATTAATCTGGAGGCATTACCTGTGTTCCTTCTGTGATGTGGAGATCTCCCTCTGCCAAGCTGGGCTCCCACATGGGTTCACTGATAGTTGGTCTGTTGTTCACGTGAGGCTTGAAGTCAGGAGATTCACTTTTAAGACGACAAAAGACTGCAGTCATGTTCACTTCTGGCTTCGCGGCACACTAAACTCAACTAGACTCTCAACGAATTAAAAAATAACAGATGTGGAAGTTTGGATATGGGCAACTAATCAGAATTGGCCATCAAGACCTGACAGTGTAAACGGGCCTAAAAGCATGTGGAAAGCAGGAGTGGTTTTAACTTCTCTACTTCTCTGTGGTTGCTGTGTGTTTATATATGAAAGAATTGGCCCAGTGTGAATATATTTGATATTGGCAATAATTAAAAGTTTTACATCCTCATCAAAATTATTCAGATATTGTCGCTGATATTCGATGTATTACCTAACTTGAAGTGTGAGGGTGTGACTCGGCCCACACGCAATCTGTGCGAACAGAATTCTGCAGATTTTTAGCCCATGATTGAGTCTATTTATTTACTGGTGTAAATGTGAGTAAATTAATACTTATTCAGTTTATAACTTAACTTCAGAAATATTACTGATTTATTCATTATGATTTATTTACAATACAGTTTGTGAAGTAATATTTTCTGTCTTTCAGTCGATATATTATATGAGAGACTTGCTTTGTTTACTAAATAAGTGGATCTAATTGGATTTTTATTGTAAACGTTGAATAAAAGTTAAAGGTATGACTTTTTATTTCACATATTAAGTGTTTAGTTACGACACTCCCAAAATCATTCTTCATAAATCTGCAGATCTTCCACAAAATTCTGCGAAGAAATAGCTAAACATATCTGCAAATTCTGTCTGGCCCTCGGTATGACTCCTCACGTTATGACACTTAATGGTGAAGTTTAAAGTATAAATGTTTAAAGGGCACCTATGGTGAAAAATCTACTTTTCAAGCTGTTTGGACACACATGTGTATGTATAGTGTATAGACCGTCATATTGGGGTGATATAAACACACACACTCCTTTTTTTCAATTTAACAACAAAAAAACGGTGGACCAATTGGAGCAGTTTTCAGACCGACCGCAACTTTACGTAGGAGTGCGGTCCCCCCGCCCACCAATATTGATTGACAGCCTTGCGTCACGATTATATCCTCAGTTTCTTGTTGCACGTCCGCCATTTTCAGTGGTGAGTCAAAGCGATATCGCTAAAGGAACACCCTTGCTCTATTTTTTGATGAAAAGCTCATTGGGCTCAACACAAGATCAGTATTCTCCACATTATCGCTGTAATCGGAATTATTGCTTGTACCTTTTGCGTGGCTCCGTGCATTTCGGAGTTCTGAATGCTCATCCTAGCATAGCTTAGCTTCTCTCTCTCTCAGTCAGCCTGTCTGTTGTAAACACAGAGCGTAGGAGCTCTTGGCTCCGCCCCCTTGTTACGTTGGGCGGGAAGCCGAAACTGTGAAGCAACACGCCCCTAAACAGCAAACTGTGTACATGCCCCCAACCTGACAGTTTAGAACACATTGTAATAAAAACATCTGGGGTCCGTTCTTCGTACCTCGCTTAAATGATCTAAGATGATTTGGCAGATCCTGGATCTTTTAATCTTGATAACTGATCTCTCGCTAATTTGGTTCTTCAAACAAGTTTGCGAATCAGATTAGAATGTCTGGATAAACTGATCTGAGATCGCTGCGTGTGTATTGAAGGACAGATCTATCGATCCTCGAAATCATGATCAGCAATGCAACGATTGGCTGACGGCACAGCAGCGTAATGACATCATCTGATTAATATTCAATTATCCATGTGAGCAAAATTACATCAAATTAGCAGCAAACGGCTTGTTAAATATGACACGCAATAACCTTCCACATTTGTTATGAGCTGCAGGCTTTACACTGTCATGTGTCAAGACAAGAGTTTTCATCATGTATTTCAATGCATATCAGTGTATTTCGTTCTACATTTAGAGAAGATTTTCTTTATTATAGTAGCCGTTTTTTAATCGGTGTAAAGAATAACTGGTTGTTTACAAAAGCATTTTTTTATATTGGTAAAGGCGTCTGCAACTTTTGTGAAGCATCAAATCACTGGCATACTAACTGTCAAAACATGTTTATGACTGCTGAAATGTATTATTTCTTTAAAAAAGTCACATATTGTGCATTTCTATTATACACAATTTGTACTAAAGCGATCTAAAAAGTTCATATCAATAAGTTTTCTCTTTGCACCACCAGATGGTGGCAGTCTTTGTACTTTCATTTCGAGGGTGCAGATTGCATAAGTTTTATTAATATGGATAACTTTATTTATTTTATTTATATTTTTATATAATTAAAAAATATTTACCATTTTCCCAAGTGTAACTTTACTACTGTAAGAAAATATCAGAATTCGGTATATACTTTCTGTATTATCTTTGCTTGAACTGAGCCGATTTAATCCTGTTTATATGAATTGAACCTGCTCCCGATCAGGTTTGAGCTAGCAGAACTGTTGCCATGACAACAACTCTCGAATCAGCTTTGAAGAACGAAACGATCCTGGAACGTGCCAAATCGTCAATATCCAAATTCAGCTAACTGAGTAATCCTTGTACGAAGAACGGACCCCTGAACTGTGTTGAACTGAACCTAAACTGGCACACTCAGAAGAACCAGAATATTAATATTCAATCATAAAAAAGGGGTAAACTATGTGCCCTTTAATGGTAATAAAATACATTTCACATTTGTTTGATTAAATTCATAGATAAAGCAAACGAAAGCAGGAGAAAAGTTTTCAACATTCATTCATCCCACACGTGACAAACATTTATGGCAAACCAATGCAAGATTTCATTTTATGATTAACGTGTTGTTCAATATAAACAGTTTGAGGTGTCATACAAGTGTCGTGTAGTAAAATTAAAAGTCTGTCTGTCGATTTTTAATATATGGATTTCAGAAAGGATTCATTTCTGTCTGGAAGAAAAGTTTGTTACCCATTTGTTCTGGAGTTAATTGGATGTTGAGTGAGTCCTTGTGTTCATATTATCACACGTGTGTAACGTACAGTCCAGAGGAAAACAAATTCCGTTATGACCGCTAAAAGGCACTTGGTCAGTCCACATGAGTTTATGACCCCTGGTGCCAGCAAGACGTTGGCCAGAACAAGAGTTGTCCCCCCTTTAAAGACATTGATATATATATACACCTGTATACGCCCTTTTCAAGACACTAGATAAACTAAGAATGCATGAATTATGTTTTATGTATCTCTAAAATAGTCCTGTTTGGTGTCGTTCTTCTCCATACATAATTCTCATGATCTAGAACGTAGGATGATAACTTGTATGCTTGGTGTAGTTTCAAACCATGAGTTAAAGTTTTGTCTGTCTGTCTTGGGACTGTATGCACCAGCTGGGAGAACAAAGAAAGTTTCCTGCTCGACTGTTCCTCTCATGCCAATGGTCAGTCAGGAGAGACTGAGGGTGCTTTCACACCTGTGAATCGATTCAGTTGTTCCGAAACAGAGATTACAATTGTTACATTGTTGCTCTTTGCTCTTGGAGCGGTTCGCTTTCACACTGCAAAGTTTCTAATCGGACCAAAAGAGCTAAAACAAGTCACGTGCGAGTAAACTCTCCTTACATAGTGTCAGGGTTTATTTTGCAGAGTCCCGCTCAGCTGTCAGGAGAGGTAGTGGTTTGGTGGTGATCGACAGGGAGTGCGAGTGTCTGAGGAGAGACGTGGTAGGGAGGGGTGAGAAGGGTGCGCGACGATGCCTATTTGAGGACCGGGAGGGAGACGCGAGACTACCGGGAGATCATCACTCGTTTGTGGGCATCCGGAGACTCGCGAAACTTCCCGCCCTACTCATAATTCTCTCTTCATATAGCCGTAAGCCTATTACATATCCATAAAACACTGTGATATAACTGCGCTCGGATCAGATCGCTTTCTCACTGCAATCGAACCGCTCCAGGGTTCGTTTCAATCGAGCCGAGACTACCTCATTCAAGCGATCTAGGAGCGATTACTTTGGTGCGGAACAGAGCGCGATTGCCCTGTTCACATATGCCAAACGAACCGCGCTAACTGGGCAAACGAGATGCGTTCCGAAACAAAAGTGTAGGTGTGAAAGCACCCTAAGAGTCACCTGTCCAATGTCTTTAAATACCTCTTACACCCATAAAACCTTTACAGAAAGGTCTTGGCGGAAGGTCTACACAGAAGAGCCCCTAATGGGGCAGACCGCGTTTCTGTACTCACGTGACTCGCCCGAGTCCACGTTTCTTATTTTCCAGCAAATTAAACTCAGTTTGAAGTTACGTCTTGCATATCCTCTGATCTGCGTTGCAAGCTCCACCCAAGACAACATCTTCCACACATCAAAGAAACTCTCACAATGAGTGAAAGAGATCGAGATCTACCTATGCAAAATGTAAGTTACTGTAATGTTTCCCCTGGTCTTAAGATTTTGTTCAGGAGTGTAAGTTAATTCTGAATATTCATAATTAATAATAACTCGTTACTGTTGATCATTAATATTCAAAAACTGAGCTAATTTCACTACAGGTGTCTGAATTGATTATCTAAAGAGAAACAAAGCAGATACTCAGTTTTGTTAGACTATGGCGACCCTTATACCTTCAAGGTTACAAGGCTTCTCTGTAGCGTGAATCCTCTCATGTTTTTTCAGATTCCTTGAATCAATGAATCTCTTGTCGCAGTGTAAACACATGTAAGGTCTCTCTCCAGTGTGAAACCTCTCATGTGTTTTCAGGCTTCCTGATCTACTGAATTTCTTGTCGCAGTGTGAACACGTATAAGGTTTCTCTCCAGTGTGAATCCTCTCATGTGACTTCAGGCTTGCTAACTGTCTGAATCTCTGGTCACAGTGTGAACACTCGTAAGGTTTCTCTCCAGTGTGAATCCGTTTATGTGTTTTCAGGGTTTCTAACTGACTGAAGCTCTTGTCGCAGTGTGAACACATGTAAGGTCTCTCTCCAGTGTGAATCCTCTCATGCGTTTTCAGGCTTCCTAATGTACTGAATCCCTTGTCGCAGTGCGAACACATGTAAGGTTTCTCTCCAGTGTGAGTTCTCTCATGTGTTTTCAGGTTTTCTAACTGACTGAATCTCTGGTCACAATGTGAACACGTATAAGGTTTCTCTCCAGTGTGAATTCTCTCATGTCTTTGCAGGCTTCCTAATGTACTGAATCTTTTGTCACAGTGTGAACACTTGTAAGGTCTTTCTCCAGTGTGAATCCTTTCATGTGATTTCAGGCTTTCTAACAGACTGAATCTCTTGTCACAGTGTGAACACTTGTAAGGTTTCTCTCCAGTGTGAATCCTCACATGTGATTTCAATTTTGCAGCCGTAAGAAAGGTCTTATTACACTCAAAGCACACATACTCTCTCACACCGGTGTGGATCTTCTGATGACTTCTTAAAACATTTTCATGTCTGAAATTCTTTCCACACACAGTGCATGAATAAGGCCTCTCCTCTGTATGAACTTGAAGGTGTTTCTTCAGATATGAAGCCATCAAAAATGTTTTGCCGCACTGATCACATTGGTGTGGTTTCTCTCCAGTGTGGGTCAGCATGTGTTTATTATGGGTTGATGAGGTTCTGAAACTCATCCCACACTGAGAACATGTGAATGGTCTCTCTCCAGTGTGGATCATCATGTGTGTATTATGGGTTGATGAGGTTCTGAAACTCATCCCACACTGAGAGCATGTGAATGGTTTCTCTCCAGTGTGGATCCTCATGTGATTTCTGAAACCGTGTTTGTCTGCCAGACTTATTCCACACTGAGTGCAGGTGAAGCATTTTTTGCTTTTTCTCTTCAGTGAGTGTGTATTTTCTATGATTTTCTCATGACGGCGTGTCTCCTCCATCAGGCCTGAAATAAATATAAAAAGACTTTATTTATAAATTAATTATTTAAGAAAGTGAACGTTTACCACCACTAAAGTTTCATTTATGATCCCTCTTGGTGTATTTTTATACCTTTAATTTCATAAGCAAGATACACCGATCTTCATTCATTCATTTTCTTTTCGGCATTTGGCTGATTTATACTTCTGTAACTGCCATGATTTAATGTACTCGCTATGCTTGCCATAATTGGAGTCACCACAGGAGGGCGATCTAGACCGATAGGATTTAAGTAAGACAAAGAGTAAGAGCAATTCACGTTTGTTCACAAGCTAACAGGTACTGCTTGGAAGAATGCCTTGAGCTTTTAGTATCCCTTCGGCAAGCAGAGCAAGGTATGTTTTGTTTATTGTTTGATTTATTTGGAAAATGTTAGATGTTTTGTGAATTTACTTGAGTCTATATTTCTAAGTTGTTTGTTTGTTTTCTCTGCTTTTGGTGCTTCAGTGTTTCAGTGCTTTGATGTTTTTGGTGCTACAGTGCTACATGCTACTATGATATTATGTGCAAAGAAGTATGTGCAAACCGGTAAAGATGAGAATTGATGCTTGTATACAACAAAGAACTGAGACAATCAAGATTTCTGTGATGAACTTTATTGAATCCAAGTAAACAATTTTAAATGCACCCGTCAAAAACTCTCTGCCTATTTATTGAATGCTGAAGGGCTGCTACAACTTCTGTGTCAAGCGCACGCGTATGCTTTGTCGCAGCCTACGCGAGGACGCATAGCCCCTCGCTGTGGCCATCGATGTCGCTGAAAGACACCTCTCAAAAAACGTAATGCGTAGTGCAAGCTCTGTCATTGGTAGTGCTGACAACTGTGGGCAGACATGAGAGCCGCGCAGGCATGATGCAGTGGGTGTTTACAAGTTTACAAGAGTCCTGTGAAGGAGCTCTGGATGGAGACTGCTGTTTTGTGTTTACCTAGTGATTAAAGTTGTTGCACGTTCTCCATTTCCCACCACAAAATGAGCAAATTTGAGCCATTTAAGAAAGCGTACATTAAGGAAGCGTTCAGAAAAAACAACACCAGCGAAAGAACTCAACACAGAGAAACAGAAGCACCTACTGCCAGCTAGAGTTTTGAAAGGGTTTTGCTGAGCAACAGAAACAGAGTGAAGAAGTATAAATGCACAGCTATGCGCGTTGCATGTGCCGTGGGTCACGCCGAAAAAACTTGACACGGAAGTATAAACCAGGTTTTACAGGCCCTTTATTAATTATTAATCGACAAAGCGGAATGAACCGCCAACTTATCCAGCATATGTTTTATAAACACTCATACACTGCTGACAATTTAGCCTACTCATTTCACTTGTACTGAATGTCTTTAGACTGTGGGGGAAACCCGAGCATCCGGAGAAAACCCAGGCGAACACAGGGAGAACATGCAAACTCCATACAGAAATGCCAACTGACCCTGCGACCTTCTTGCTGTGAGGCAACAGCACTTCCTACTGCACGACCGCGTCACCCTAAACTGATCTACCATTAATTAATTTGAAAACACTTGTATAATATCAACCGTATTACCATTTCGTCATTACCTTAAGATGCTTTTACACATATTTGGACAATGCATTTATAATAATGTGTCGCTCTTAAAGTGGTGGATTTATAATCCCTAATCTCTTTTAATATTAAAGTTATGAAAGATGTTTGTATTTGAGATCTGAAGAGCGACTGATGCTCTGACTGAATGCTGTCATGAATGCAGTAATGATGTAAGCCCAGATTCCAGAGAATAAATCTGCACTTATTTCATAATTACTTTCATCAGGAGATCCAGAATTTGATGTTTTGTTCTATTCTGAATTCATGGGAGTTTAATTTTGCTTGTGTGAATGAATTTTGCTTGTGTGCCTCCTCCATGAACCACCACTTTATTGTGGTGGAGGGGTTTGAGTGGCGGAGTGATCCTAAGAGCATTTTTGGTGGCGGGCTAATATCTCTGGTAGGGTCTCCCAAGGCAAACAGGTCTTGGGTGACAGGTCAGACTAAGTGCGGTTCAAAAACCCCTTATGAGTACAACGACATCAAAGACTGTGATGTCACCCGGCGTGGCACAGCCGGGGCCCAAGCCTGGAGCCAGACTTGGGGTTGGGGCTTGTATGCAAGCGCCTGGTGGCTGGGATTTTTTTCTTACAGAACCCGGCAGGTCTTAGCCCGAAAGAGCGATGTGGAACCATCCTTTTGCAGGTCCACCACCAGCAGGGGGTGCCATAAGGGGCCGGTGTATTGTGAAATGGGTGGTGGTTGAAAGTTGGGACCACGACAACCCGATTGTTAGGCACGGAAACTGGCTCTTGGGACATGGAATGTCACCTCACTGGGAGGCAAGGAGCCCGAGCTTGTGCGGGAGGTAGAATGGTACTGACTAGCGATAGCTGGGCTCACCTCCACCCACAGCTAGGGCTTTGGCACTCAACTTCTTGAGAAGGGCTGGACTATCTTTTACTCTGGAGTTGCTCACGGTGAGAGGCGGCGGGCTGGTGTGGGCTTGCTTATAGCTCCCCAACTTAGCCGCCATGTGTTGTAGCTTTCCCTGGTGAACAAGAGGGTCGCCTCCTTGCGCCTTCGGGTTGGGGATAGGTCTCTCACTGTGGTTTGTGCCTACGGGCCAAACACCAGTGCAGAGTACCCGGCTTTCTTGGAGTCCCTGGGAGGGGTGCTGGAAGGCGCATAGACTAAGGACTCCATTGTTTTGCAAGGGGACTGCCCTCGTGGATAATGACAGTGATACCTGGAAAGGTGTGATTGGGAGGCACGACCTTCCTGATCTGAACCCGAGTGGTGTTTTGGTTTCAGACTTCTGTGCTTATCACAGTTTGTCAATAACGAACACCATGTTTAAGCATAAGGGTGTCCATCAGTGCACATCGCACCAGAACACCCTAGGGTGGAGGTCAATGATCGACTTTGTGGTTGTATCATCTGATCTCTGACCATATGTCTTGAACACTCTGGTAAAGAGAGGGGCAGAGCTGTCAACTGATCACCACCTGGTAGGGAGTTGGATCCGCTGGCAGGGGGGAAAGCTTGACAGACCTGGTAGGCCCAAGCGTATTGTGAGGGTCCTCTGGGAATGTCTTGCTGAACCTCAAGTCAGAGGGATTTTCAACTCTCACCTCTAAAAGAGCTTTGACAAGATCCTGAGGGAGGCTGGAGACATGAAGACTGCATGGTCCATGTTCTCCGACTCCATGGTTAATGCGGCCGTGAGGAGCTGGTGGTGGACACCGGAAGTAAGGGATGCCGTCAAACTGAAGAAGTTTTGCAGGACTCCAGAGACAGCTGATGGGTATCGACAGTCCAAACGTGCTGCAGCCTGGGTCGTTGCAGAAGAAAAAACTCAGGCCTGGGAAGAGTTTCGGGAGAGCATGGAGGAAGACTATCGGTTGGCCCCAAAGAGATTCTGGCAAACTGTCTGGCACCTCAGGAGGGTAAAGCAGCTCCACATCAACGCTGTTTACAGCGAACGTGGCGAGCTGTTGACCTCAACTGGGGATGTGGTCGGGCTGTGGAAGAAATACTTTGAGGATCTCCTTAAACACATCGACATGTCTTTCATTGAGGAAACAGAGGCTGGGGATTCAGGGGTGGACTCACCTATTGTGGGGCTGTTGTGGCTGACACATCTTAACAACAACGCATGGAGGTCAGGGACAGTACCTCTGGACTGGGCAACTGGGGTGGTGGTTCCCATTTTTAAGAAGGAGGACCTGAGGGTGTGCTCTAACTATAGCGGGATCACACTCCTAAGCCTCCAGGGGAAAGTCTATGCCAGGGTACTGGAGAGGAGGATCCGGCCAATGGTTGAACCTAGGATCCAGGAAAAACAATGTGATTTTTGTCCGGGCTGTGGCACACTGGAGCAGCTCTATACATTCACCAGGGTGCTCGAGGGTTCATGAGAGTATGCCCAACCAGTCCACATGTGTTTTGTAGACTTGGAGCAGACATTTGATTGCGTCCGTCGTGGCATTCTGAGGAGGGTGCTCGGGGAGTATGGGGTCAGAGACGATCTGTTGAGGGCCGTCTCCTCCCTGTATGAACAGAGGAGTCTGGTTCGCATTGCCAGCAATAAGTCCGATTTGTTTCCAGTTCATGTTGGACTCCGGCAGGGCTACCCCTTGTCACCAATTCTATTAATAATTTTATGGACAGAATTTCAAGGCGCAGCCTTGGGCTGGACGGGGTCTGGGTCGGGAGCACAGGTTTTCATTTCTTTTATTCGCAGACGATGTTGTTCTGATTGCTTCATCGAACATGGACCTTTAGCATGCACTGGGCTGGTTTGCTGCCAAGTGTGACGCGGCTGGTATGAGAATCAGCTCCTTCAAGTCTGAGGCCATGGTGCTCAACCGGAAAAAGGTGATTTGCCATCTCCAGGTTGGAAGAAAATCCTTACCCCAGGTAGAGGAGTTTAAGTATCTCTGGGTTTTGTTCATGAGGGAGGGAAGGATGGTACGTGAAATTGACAGGCAGATTAGTGCAGCGGCAGCAGTAATGTGGTCGATGTACTGGTCCATTGTGGTGAAAGAGCTGAGCCGAAAGGCAAAGCTCTCGATTTACCAGTCAATCTAAGTTCCTACTCTCACTTATGGTCATGAGCATTGGGTCATGACTGAAAGGACAAGATCTCGGATACAAGCAGCCGAAATGAGTTTCCTTCGAAAGGTGGCAGGGCGCACTCTTATGGATAGGGTGAGGAGCTCTGACACCCGTGAGGAGCTCCGAGTAGAGCCGCTGCTCCTCCACATCGGGAACGCCTCAGGATTCCCCTGTAGGAGATGGAAGAAGTGTCTGTGGAGAGGGAAGTCTGGGGTTCACTCCTAAGACTGCTGCCCCCGCGAACCGGCCCCGGAAAAGGAGCAAAGAATGAATGAATGTACTAGGCATTCACAGATCTCAATACTTGGATCGGATATTAATTTGATACCACATGTTTTGCTGGATCGG